AAAGTTGGATCTACCAGGTATGTAAAATAAAAAAATCTGGTTTTAGGCCAGGTGCAGTGGGTCATGCCTGTAATCCCAACACTTTAAGAGGTCAACACAGGCATATCATTTGAGCCCAGGAGTTTGAGACCAGCCCGGGCAACCTTTGTTATTTATGTAGGTTATTTATGTAGGTTCTAAGTAAACTTTAGTTTATTTATGTTTATTGTTCCAGAATGTTGAGATTCATCTGAATTCCCAAGTATGTATATTGATAAACTTGATAAGTATTTTTTTCTTGCTCTGTCTTACGGTGCTGATTGATAAGTATATTTATACTTTCTATATCTTCACTAAAGTCATTAATAAAGTTGTAACCTGGCTGGCACGGTGGCTCACACCTGTAATCCCAGTACTTTAGGAGGCCAAGGTGGGCAGATCATGTTTTCAAGAGACCGAGACCATCCTGGCCAACATGGTGAAATGCTCTGTCTACTAAAAATACAAAAAATAGCTAGGTGTGGTGGCGCGCACCTGTAGTCCCAGCTACTTGGGAGGCTGAGGCAGGAGAATCACTTGAACAAATGGTAAAGCCATAATTTGAACTCATATAGGCCGAGAACAACTGAACCCAGGAGGCGGAGGTTGTAGTGAGCAGAGACGCGCGCCACTGAACTCCAGCCTGGCAACAGAGTGGAGACTCGTCTCAAAAAAAAAAAAAAAAAAAATTAATTAAATTAATAAAAAATAAATAAAATTTGTAGCGTCTAAAACACATCCCAAGTACTTTTATTGTTGACATAATTACGAGTCTGTTTGCCGGGGGTTGCTAGCAGTCAAAGTTGTGTTGTTGGGATATGCGCGCTACTGGCCAGCGCTAAATCAGCAACAGTGGATGCCACCCAAGTAATCATTACTATTTACTTCAGATTCATTCGAGTTCACTGCAAGATATTCCATGGTTGACTTAAGATTGACTTGCTTTGAGACGGTATAAGCAGTTGTGGATGCGTATTATGATTTTTTCCATGTGAGATGTTGCGTAGTATTAGAATGGCTGTTTGATAACTTCTGTTTAAAGAGCACGCTCGTTGATTTATAACCTGGATGCTCATTGAAAGCGTATCCTTTTTTTTTTGTTTGTTTTTGGGTTGTTTTTGAGGACGCGAGGTTCTTGCTCTGGGGGTTAAGCCAGCTTCGGAGTGGCCAGTGGCCGGGCGATGTCTCAGGTCGGGGACTGCCCAAGCTGTTCGCCGTCGTTTCGGGTTGCAGCCCATGTTGTTGTCGTCCTGCCTTCAGGCCTCCCGAGTAGCTGGGAACTAACAGGCACCCGGCCCACTTGTCGCCCGGCCTATGTTTTTTTGTGTGATGTGTGTTGTAGTGTAGAGACGGATGGTTTCACGCGTATGTAAGCCAGGATGTCTTGTTGATCTCCTGGACCTCATGAGTCTCGCCCGTGCTTCTGCCCCTCCAAAC